AAAGAGTGTGCAGCAAAGCCCTTCAAGAAAAGAATTCTGATACCATCTCAAATATTTGTGTAAATGACGTTGTGCAAAGCGTATGGGAAAGAAAACAAAAAAATGCATGTTGTATGAATAACCAACGTGAACGTCACGTCTATTGACAGTGATGATTATACAATACAGAGATAAAACAGGAAAAAGGAAGAGAGAAAAAATAATAACAAAAGTTTGTTACAAAGTGAATGGAGAATGTGTATGGAGAATATGTAATAGAATAACAAACACAGCTAAGACCCACAAAAATAACCAATCAAAACTAGATTTGAAAATTAAATGTTCTCGGTTACTGTTGGTATAAGAAAAATTACAGTCACCTTCCTGTGATCCTTTAGCCTACACGATGAGAATTACGCTTTACCAAATAAAAAATAAATAAATAAAAGTTCCAACTTATATTACGAAGTAAAAAAACAAAAGTTGGCTTACGGAAATTAAATTACGGAAATATTAGCATTTTTCAGAATTTACTTTCGGAAATTATGAATCTAATCATGTATGGAAGTGTTTTTGGATTGAAATTTGACAATGAAGGGTGTTCTTAAAGAAGTTAAAAAAAGGGGGGGAAACGGGGTGAAGAAAGTTCCTCTGGACCTTCCTATACCTATCCTATTTATGGACCAAAATAAATGCAGTCAAAAGTAATTCATTAAAAAAAAATAAACTACCGGTAGAGAAAAATAAAAACTAAAGTACCTTTTACACTTTTACACCTACCATACAATGGAACAGTCCAATACTTGCCAAACATATTAGAAGAAAAAATAATTTATGCAGTGTAAGAAAAAGAAAAAAAAAAACTTTACATTGTTTTCGTATATGTCGATGAAAACAATTTCAGATCGTCTGTGCATTGTTTGAAAATCTTAGAACAACTATAAACAATTTCTTCTCTTTTTAACCACTTCTTTGCACTTTATTTGGCTACTGGTAAAAGATTTCTCACAACATAATTCAGGCGTGTTACGGTTTGAACAATTCTTCTAAAACACTTGTCTTTGATCAGAAAGTTTTCCAAAATGCCATTTTTCAAAACCAAAATGGTAACAATCAGCACCACAAAAGCTATTAAGATTTTGCACCCTTCTTCAACTGGGCATTAAGCTCATTGATCGAGTTTGGTAGAGTTTGGTAGTATCAAGACTTTCCTTAAACAAACAAGTGGAATTTAGTTCACTTCAATCATGAGACATGTTAGATTGATAGCTGTAATTGCAGTGAAAGGACCCTGAAGGGTGAGTTCAGATCCATAAAGTTAGCATAGAAAAGATACATAGCATGGTTTAACAAATCCGTTTCTAGAATCCCAAATATCATTTGTAGTTCTAGCCTTCTGATCAACATCAACATTAACTGTATTACAATTACAAAAACCAAAATAGGGGGCAAAGATATCCATGCTAATGATATTTTCAAGTTCTCATGAACATTTCCTACAACAAAATTTTTACACAAGTTGCTGACTAAATTCTTTCCCCCTTAAAATTAGGAATCGGGTAGGATGATCCAAAGTCACTAACTATTTCAAGTCAGCCAAAAAATGAGCCAAACTAACATGATTAATTTTAAATCAAGTATATCTACCCTTCAAAATGATATTTGGAAGCAAGCATCCACTACGTTAGAACTTCCAAGCTATCTCTGGCTCTTCATATTTAATGCCCTCCTCTGTTTATCAAATAAAAAAGGATAAGATTATGCATAAGACATAAAGATAAAAAGCCTTAATGGAGTAGATAATTGGAAAAATATATATATCATTTGCTTAGATGAGAACATACATGTGAGAAGCATACTCGTACAACACATTTCCAAATATTTGGACATGCTCCATAAAAAAACTGAAAACCTTACAAGAAGACAAACGAGGAAACTTATTAACAAGGGAGGTTGCACTACTCTAACACGTGCTCATGCATAATAACACAAGAAAAACAAGTATTAACAAAAGCATTATTTCTTGATAACGTGGAATCAGCTACATGAATTAAAAAAGACATTGTCCTCTAATAAATCATCTCTAATCCTGGCGCGAGAGGGTAAATTGAAATCCACATTGACCACATTCCTGGCCAATGAAGTTCTTAATAAGGTTTGGATAATTCTTACCTTACAAACCAGTTTTGTGGAATTATGTTAGGCCCTAAACCCAAATCCTAAGATGGTATCAAAGTTTATCCAAGCTTTGTTATTAGTATACCTAAATTTGTTTATGCTCTAGATGACTATACTCAAGCATGATGGGAAAGGGTGTTGTTATAAGACCACCCGCATTTGTCCACACTCCATATGTTCAATCCTAAGCGTGATGGTAGAAGACATCCCACATCGACTTAAGCCCTATGCTTAATTCTAAGAACATATAAAATTATTCCATATATAAATGTACTATAGAACAAAAATTCATCAAATGAGGTAATTGGTGATTCAGTGGCTATAAATTATAAATGTATTTTAACGCATCAAACAGTATAAAAGGAAAAAATTTGAAGCCATCTTCACATCTCATGCACATGAAAGGCAGTCCAACATAGGTGAAGACAGTAGTCGTGTGTAAGCTTTGCATGGGCAGCTTATGTAGCTAGTGCTCTGTATTCAAACTTTCAATGTTTAGTGAAATGAGTAAAGAGAAAACATGAATTGGTGGGTAGTCGGTGTAGCTAGTGCTTCATTTTCAGACATCCAATGTTTAGTAAACTAAGCAAAGAGATGTAACAGATTTCAGAAACTGGAAACTTTATGATAGAACTGGTTCAGGAATAACCAAAGAGAAAGGAAACACTGTACTACGCACTTTATTGCTGTAAACAAAATTCAGGTATTCGAGAGACCTGACTCTCCACAAACTATGAATTTTCTAAAAAGCCCCCCTTATTGACCCCCTATCTCCTATTTATATTTGCCCATTTACTACCAATACAATCTATTATTCAGTTACACTTTAATCCTCTCCTTTCTGCCTATTTCTCCTATTTATATTTGCTCATTTACTACCAATACAATCTGTTCCTACTGAGAAACACTCCTCCTATTGCTCCTTCTTCGTGGTCTTCTAAGTCTTCGGTGCGGACCAAATACTATCTTCAAAGGGTGGGGAGGATACCTGCAAAGGCACTCCGACGATCAAGTAAGTGTTCGGTATAGAGCAATAAAGACTTTTATATTGGATAAAATGTACCTCCTTTCTATCCCATCACCTGTGTATTTATAATGACGTATTTGGGCCTGGTGGGCCTTCTGTCTTGGGAGATGGGTAATACCCTGGTTAACCTTGATCCTTCTTAATTAGACGTGATAATCAATGTGTAATGGATATCCTAATCTGCCATATGTTCCCGTGAGTTGACCTTCTCTTGGGTCTTCGGCCAAACTGTTTTCCGAAGAGGTGTTCGGTCATGCTCATGGCCGAAGGGGGGTTCGGCCAGTCTTAAAGCCTTAGGGGTATTCGGCCAAGCTTAAGGCCGAAGGGGTATTTGGCCAAGCTCAAGGCCGAGGAGTGTTTTGAATGTTTCTCCTTGATGCTTCTTTGTCCACCTTTTGGAGTGCTTCCTTCCTCTTTTCCTTGCAGGAAAGTATTCGGCCATACCTAAGGCTTGACAGGGGTATTCGGCCAAGTTCAAGGCCGACGGGGGTGTTCGGCCAAGTTCAAGGCCGAAGGGATCACGTGGGTGGAGATTTCGGTTTAAGTGCTTCTCTCGGCCTAGGATCCAGCCGAGGGGGTGTTAACCAGTACACAATCTATTATTTAGTTACACTTTAATCCTCTCCTTTCTGCCTATTTCTCCTACTGTACACCTTCCGATATCTATCAATACCCCCTCCTACAATATCCACCTTGTCCTCAAGGTGGAATAAAGGAAACACTTCCTAAATGTCCGTAGCTAATTCCCAACTATTCTCACAATCAGGGAGTTGCTGCCATTTGATCAAGACCTCCACTTGACCTGCCTCATTCCTCCGAGTATTTAAAACAGCATCCAGTTGCACAGGTAACTCCCAAGTGTCAGTCAAAAAGGGTTGAGGCTGTTGCTGATCACCAATAGCCTTCTTTAATTGTGAAACATGAAATACCGGGTGAAGTTTACTGTTGGCTGGTAAATCAAGCTTATAAGCCACAACACCAATCCTTTGCATGATTTGATATGGACCATAAAAACGTGGTCAAAGTTTCTCGTTTGGCCGTTTAGCTAAGGACTTCATCCTATAAGGTTGCAATTTGAATACCCAATCACCCTCTTGATACTCCACATCCCTCCTATGCTTATTAGCATGGGCTCTCATTTGATCTTGGGCTTTCAAAAGATTACTTCGCAATTCTGCCAACAACTCATCACGTTGGCGAACTAATTTATTCACCTCTTCTACCTTTGAAGGAATGGCAGTACCTTTCAACAATATTGGAGGATCTCTCCCATACAAAGCTTTGAAAGGTGACATTTTGGCAAAGGCGTTGTAATTGGTGTTAAAACAAAATTCTGCCCAAGCTAGATGTGATGGCCATTGTTCGGCTTTGTACCAGTAAGACAACGCAAGTAGGTTTCTAAACAACGATTTACCACTTCTGTTTGGCCATCCGTTTGCGGATGGTAAGCTGAACTTAACTTGAGGTGGGTCCCTACTTGTCAAAATAATTCCTTCCAAAACTGACTCATGAATATTTGATCTCGGTCAGAAACTATAGAGGAGGGAAAAACGTGTAACCTAACCACCTCCTTCAAGAACAATTCAGCTACCTCCTTTGCTGTAAATGGGTGACCAAGGCCTATAAAATGTGCAAATTTAATTAATTTGTCCACAACTACCATGATGGTGTCCTTGCCCTGTGAGCGTGGAAGCCCTCCTATGAAATCCATAGAAATATCAGCCCAAACATGTGTTGGAATTGGTAAAGGTTGAATGAGACCAGCTGGAGACAAAGCCTCATACTTATTCTTTTGACAAACTGTACAAGCAACCACATAATTCTTAATATCTGCCTTCATACCATCCCAATAAACCACTCCTACTAATCTTTTACATGTTCTGAACTAACCTGAATGTCCTCCCACTGGTGAGTCATGAAATTCCTTCAAAATTAATGGAATTCTGTTGGACCCCTTGGGTAAAACCAATTTTCCCTAGTAGTATAGTCGTCCCTTGTGTAATTCATAGCCACTATGATTTGCATAACCTACGAGCAAGTCTTGATAAATGTTGTGAAACTTAGCATCCCTTTGAATCTCTGCCTCCCATGCCTCCATGTCTTCAAAATTCACCATTGATATAGCAGAAAATGCAGCCCTCCTGGAAAACGCATCAGCAGCTGAGTTCTCCTTACCCGATTTATATTGAATCTCAAAGTCATACCCTATTAATTTTGTGGCCCATTTAAATTGTTCTTCACTCATGAGACGTTGTTCGGTTAAGAACTTAAGACTGCGCTGATCTGTTCGTATAATAAAATGATTGCTCAACAGATAGTGCCTCCATTAATTCTCTTTCATAAACAGATTTTTGTTGTGCCCTTGATGATAAGGTTTTGCTCCAAAAGGCCAAAGGTCTCCCTTCTTGAAGCAAAACATCCCCTAAACCAACCCCTGATGCATCTGTCTCTCATAAATGGTTTGTTAAAATCTGGTACTGCCAATATTGGTAACGTAGTCAGATTATTTTTGAGTTCCTCAAAAGCCTCCTGCGCTTCCATAATCCAACTAAACCCAACTTTTTTTAACAGCTGAGTTAAAGGCTTAGCTATCTTACCATATCCTCGAATGAATCTGCGATAACACCCTGTAATTTCCAAAAAACCACGCAACCCTTTTATATCTTTTGGCGTGGGTCACAACCACATAGCCTCAAGTTTCTTGGGATCAGTTGCCACTCCTGCTGATATGATGTGACCCAAATACTCCAAATTAAGCTGCCCAAAACTGCATTTCTTTTTATTAACTTTCAATTGGTTCTGCTCTAAAGCTCCCAGCACCTTCTGTAAATGATCAGCATGATTGCCTAGATCAGGGCAGTAAACTAGAATGTCATCAAAAAAAAAACTAGTGCAAACTTCCTTAAAAATGGCTTGCGTACCTCATTCATTAAAGCTTGAAAAGTAGAAGGTGCATTGGTTAATCCAAACGGCATCACCAAAAATTCATAGTGACCTTCATGGGTTCGAAAAGCTGTCTTCTCTATGTCTCCTTCGCTCATCCGAATTTGGTGATACCCCGATCTTAAATCCAATTTAGAGAAAACCTTAGCTCCTCCCAACTCATCTAACAATTCATCTATAATAAGAATGGGAAATTTATTGGGGATGGTGATTTTATTTAAAGCTCTATAATCCACACAAAATCTCCAACTCCCGTCTTTTTTCTTCACCAATATTACTAGGCTAGAATAGGGACTGACACTAGGTCTGATCATTCCAGCTGATAACATTTCCCTAACCAATTTCTCAATTTCCGTTTTTTGGTAGTGAGGATACCTGGAGGGCCTTGTTTTCGGGGGAGCAGTTCCTGGTTTCAACGAAATGGTATGATCTTGTCTTCTATTGGGAGGTAAAGCTTCCAGTTCTAGAAAAATGCCCTTAAATTCGTTCATTACACCTGCACCTTTTCTGGGACCATGGGACTCAGCCCTTGAACATCTATTAACTGACAACCCACCACAAATCCTTGTCCCTCATCTCATAGTGCCCCTTTAATGGTTTTCATTGAAGCAATAGATTTTGTTAATTCAGGTTCTCCTTTCATTATCCATGTCTTCCCCCCGACCTTTACTGTGAATATCAGTTTATCAAAGTTTGCTCTAAAATCTCCCAGTCCAGCCAACCATTCTAGTCCCAGAATTACATCAGCTCTTCCCAATCCAAACAAGAAAAAATCTTATATAATTGTAAAATCTTGTACTTGCAGTTGGATTCCTTCACAAACTCCGCTACTCTTAATTTTACGTCCATCTCCCACCTCCACCATATTAGAAGCAGTCGCCCTGACCACCAGCCCCAACCTGTCCACCAGCTCCTTGGAAATAAAGTTATGAGTAGCTCCACAATCCATCAGAACCACTACTCTGGCCCCTCCAATTTGCCCCCACACCTTGAGAGATCTCCTAGACGTTAACCCCACTATACTATGCATAGATAGTTGGGTTTACATGTTAGAAAACTGAAAATTTCACACAATACACATTGAATCAAATATATATCAAGAGGAATTTGAATGCAACAGATTCTTCCATTTTTGAGTGGTAAAAGAATAGCTTTCATACTCCACATATATATCCATGGAGTATCCAGCTCCGTATTGGTTGACCTCAAAAAAGAAAAGCAGGATATTGGTATATCGTTGATCATCTTCATAATGCAGAGCTTTTTTATTGGTCATATTCTCAAGTGGCCAAACCATCTTAGGCGGAATTCTATCATCTTTTTGTTAATATGTGCTACTCTGACTTTTTAGACTTAACACATTGCTAGGGAAAATGAGATCAGGAACAGAAGAGCTATAAGCTTGAAGATATGGAGGATCACTCCAAGCCCAGCTATAACAACTCAAAGGAAACAGACCAAAATGAATCTATATTCCCTCGTAAAACCATCCCTGCACTATTTACACCAATCCCCAGTTCTGTCTCCACCAATCAAAGCCTTCCACAATAATTGCAGGGAAATTATGCCCCCAATATTTCCCATTGTAATTTTAATACCATCATACAATCCTTAACAGCTCAAATATATGTAACAAGAACTAATTTCCAAAGCCTTTGGTTAATAAATATCATATGTTGATACTTTTGTTTCCTCCAAGAACTTTTCAAAAGATATATTGCTTTCATGGTTGACCTCCTGCCAAATTTTGTTCTTTAAAATGCAAGTCTTTTCTAAATATTAATGCTCAATTACTCTTTTCCATAATTGAATAGTATAAGTCAAAATCTTAATCACGTTATAACAAACACAATTAAAAAACATTTTGACCCTGTTCTCATAAATAGAACTGTAAATGTTTCTCCTTGGTTGTCAATTTCTCATTTCCTTAAACACTACATCTTGCTAAACAACTCTACAAGGCAAGTTATACCATTCTCATCTAGACATTTCCAAATTTCAATAGATATTTTATTTGGTCTGACTGCTTTACCATTGTCCATCCTCTTTGATGCTTCTTTCGCCTCCAACTTGTAAATTTTACAATAAGTATAATATTGGTCATTCACTGTATTGTGTAAAATATTGAGTCCCTTATTGCGGAATTTCCTTCCACAAGCTTCAAGTTTCAGTTTCCTAACCAACATCTTAGTATCCTTTGTAGCTAAATCATGCTTTACTTTGTTCTCATCATTTTTAAACAAATTCCTTGCGATAACTATAACCTTCTCTTCAACACTTGCATCCCACCACCGAGACTTTTTATATCCTTAGGTCTGAAGCCTCTTGGTTTGCAGAGTGTGTAGTCTGCTACCTACAGAATCTGTCCAACAATCTCTTTCTAGTTCCCACAAACTGTTAGCACTCCGTTATGCTTACCAAATCTCTTTTTAAAATATTCATCTGAAAAAGCCATTTACTTTCCTTCCTTTAATTGGCACCATCTAATCCCTAGGCTACTGTTGTGGCAATTTCTCATTACACTCATCAATTAAGTACATCAACAATCCCAACCTATGTTGGGTAAGCTCTCTCCAAGTTTCTTACCCGCACCTATCCAGGAAAGTGTTGAAACCCTTGGTTATTTTTCACTACATTCAAGCACTAAAGCATCAGACCTTGTTTCTACACTATACTATAGCCATAAAATGTGTTATTTGTGAGTACAATATAGCATTAACATTATAATTATCGGCCCACATCATAAACATTTGACAAAGTTTTATACTGGTAAATAACTACCTAACATAACCCTCCCTTTTCAACCAAGCATGGGACCAACTTTGTAATGATTGGAAATAAGCCAACAAAATGCACCATAAGAAAAGTTACACTATAGCACAAGAACAATTTTTTTCTATTTTCAACAGGTTACAACGTTTAGTTCAAAAGCTTACAGGCAAAAACATATATAATACTGTTAGAGATGCAATATAAAATCATTCATGTGTCTTCATATAACAATTCAAGATATTGGCATAGTTGGTCCATGACATTATATTAAAGCCTCTATGACCAAAAGGTTTAAAGTTTGATCCTTGTCACCTCCATTCTTCTAATAAAGTTGAAAGTCAGCACAAAGTAGGTGGGTTTGTACATTCATGAGTTTTCACCTTACAACTTAAACTTATAGGATATTCAGTATATGAGATATATCGTAGTCAGGAACACAAATGGTATCTACGGGGAATTCAAGGAATTATATATTTAGATGCCTAGTTGAATAGAACAATAAAGTAGCCTAATCAGATTCTTGATTACATTATTTTCTTTTTTGCATCTTAATATCATGAATTTGGATGGATGTTGAAATAAGTACGGGCATGGTTGTCAATCTCTAGTGATAACTCGTAAACTCGTAAGTTTAGGACAGCTTACCTGTACAACTCGGAGGTAAACTCGTTTTTGAGTAATCTCGGAGTAATCTCGGTAATCTCGCGAGATCACTTCCGATATTAAGAGATCACCTTTTTTTTTTTCACTTACACAAAACGCATGTTTTGTGTTTTGTGTGTTAGGGCACTTATTTAGCCTCGTCTCCTCTCCTCTTTGTTTCCTCTCCTAGTCGTCTCTTCCTCCGCGGCTCCTCCTCCGTGCGCCTCCTCTCCTCCGCGGCTCCTCCTCCGCGTTTCCTCGTCTTCTCCGTGCGTGCCTCGCCTCCTCTGTGCGCCTTGCTTCCTCTGCACGCCTCTCCTCCGCGCGTCTCTTTCTCCTCTGCGTCTCCGCCTCCGCTGTTCTTCTTCTCCGTGCGCGACTCACTTTTGTGCGAACCTGGTTAGGGTATTTAAATTTTAATATTTTTTTATTTGTCTATTTTAAGAACTTTTGTTTTTTCATTTGTGGGAACTTTTGTTAAGAATTTGTGTTAAGAACATTTATTATTAATGTAATTTGCTATTTTACTATTTAATATAGAGTTAAAATATTCAATTATTATGTTATTTTTAATTAATTAATTATTTATTTATTATTAAGTAATCTCTTACGAGTTTACGATACGTGTTTACGGAGCCTCCACGAGATTACGTAAACTCTCGAGATTGACAACCTTGAGTATGGGTACAATACATTCAAAAAAGCATACATGCAAGTTTGGAATAGCTTAATGGCAGCTTATATAATCTAAGCTTAAAACTAATTTATTTTAATGCAAAGACTTGGTAAAATTAAAATAAGAAAAAAGTATACTATTTGATAAGATATTAGTATCAAATTATCCAAACCTGCAAGAGTTTAAAATATACACTTATGAGACAAAAGTAACCCCATTCAAACGGGTGCATCACACAAGTGTTATCAAGCTTCTAAAGAGCCATGGTTTGCTGGATTCTTGTCAAAGCAACCCCCAAACCCAAAACAAGAAAAAGAGAAGGGAATTACAAACAAGATTTGAAATGAAAATATAACTTTATTTTGTAAATGGAATGACAAAAATAGGTCAATGTGCAGAACATCTAAGAAATATTTGGAATATGAAAATTTCAATTTTGTTGATAAGCCAAACATGGGAAACAAGTGTCAGCACCAGTATAAGAAAAATAGGAGACATTAAAATTAAAAGGCAAATAATACACATTCATTCTCAACCATATCTATTTTTTGTTTCCTCTACTTCTATTTCCCAAACAAAGCTCAATGTTTCTGTCAAATAGCATTCAGCAGTTAGCAATCCAAAATGGAATTTGCATGGACAACTAGAGTAAACATTTCTAGAGTTTCCGGTGTGTCCAAAAAATGTTGAAGAATGCAGCAGATTTGATCTAGATCACATGTCTTTACTGTGAGAAGCCATAATATTTCTTAGAGTCTAGATTTTATACATGTCAATGTAAACATTTTTACATAGAAATCCAATAAGATTTGACCTTTTTACCATGTCATCCTATTCATTAATATGATATAGCAATAAGATAAATTCTTATTAGATGTCAACACAAAAGTATTTTACATTGATGGTATATATAAGTTAAAACTTATGTCTTATTTATTATAAAATTTGATAAAATAAAACATAACTCATAATGTACAGAGCAATTTAAAAAATAGAAAACATTATTAAAAAAATGCTTTTATTACAGAGCCTTTATCTGAAAAAAGCAACGCATTTGGAAACATGCAATAGACTCACAAACCTCATTTAGCCATCAGTACATTTGCCAGCACCATGCTTGTCCATGAGCAAACTGCAACAAAACATCAACCAAAAGAACCACGGCATTTTGATGATCCACACAGGCATTTCTTTCTCCCTTTGGGTGCGTTGCCACCCTCAGCATGACCAGAACATCCATAATCATATGTTAACTCTGCCATTGGAGGAATGTGTCTTAAGGCAAAAAATGCAATGTGAAGAAAGGATTGATTGTTTTCCGCATACAAGACTGGCTGCCAGAAAACATTTGGGGAGCAACTATGATTCATAAATCTTGCCACATTTCCAAAATTCTTGGAACTGATAATTAGAGGATACGGGATAGCATAATCCTCACTAGAGACATTTGAGCTTATTTCTTCCAATAAACTAGGCTCATAGTTCCATTTGAATGGATCATAAATACGGCTTGTATCAAAAATATAGTCATCATTGTATCCCCCATATGGATTTACCTTGGCCCTGTCAATAACTTCTCCAGCATACTCACAAATAAAAGTACCAGCTCGAATAGGATCCAGTGATCGAAGTCCCCACCCTCTATCTTTTGTTTTGAACACTTCCATTTGGTGCTTCAAACCAGTCTGGGATACTCGATTCTTGCAGTTAGGGAAACACTTACACATTGGGCCACACTCATGAACCAATTGTGTCCTACTCACTAGAACAGCATTTGCAGTGTATGGAAAGTCGCCTTCATTTCTTTGAATGCAAGAGCAGCTCAAATCACCAGGGACACATGATTTGTAACAGTTGCAGCCATATGAAGATTGCCCTAAACTGAATGGTTTCTGATGTTTGAGAGAATTGAAATAATTGAAAACGGGGCAGTTCTCGTTATCAACTTCATTGACAAGTGACACAGGAACACTCTCATCTCCTCTGGAGAGGTCTGCAAGAATAAGGCCAGTCCTTGAAGACGAGTCCATCTTCCACTTCTGAACCGATTTCCAAACAGCAATAGCACTAGGTTGTCCAGGCAATCTAACAAACTTATACTTAAATACACCACCACCGGATTTCCCTCTTTCTATCCAAGAATCTTGGATTTTATACAGACCATCATAGACATAGATTTTTGCACTTCTGTTCACAGCATCTCTTAGGCCCCGGATGACTCTAACTTCATTCTGTTGGCGTGAACTTCTATCTAAAGCAAGATTACCCCTTTGAAGCTTCTGATCAATCACATGCTTATCTTTCTTGTTGAAGTTCTCACCCTGACCACTATAAACTAAAACATCATTATCCTCCGTTTCATCATCATATACTCCGGAAGAAACAATGCTTAAAGCCACTGTTTCATCCTTGGTGGTCATGTAGTCAATTCCTCCCATTGACTGGATATGTAAACCCACAAGAACCATTTCCATCCGTAAAAAGAAAATGTCCCCAATCTCAACCCCAGGCACTGCTCCTACTCTCTTCCTCATGTTTGTTCGAAACGCCTTAGCCGACAAGGCATTGCTTGCTCTCAAATCCGCCCGCTTGATTGCCATGGTTGTGTTCAACTCCTTAGCATCTTCAAGTTGACACAGCCTTCTTCGAAGAGAATCATAAGTCATGAGCACTAGATTAACCGTTTCACGGTCACCATCATCCCTTTGGGCCACACCAATACCACCACCAACCAAGGAACTCGAATCAAACTGTGACTCCTGAGTTTTCCTACCCCTCTTTTGGGATGATTTGCAGCTGTTCATAGGCACACGCTTTTGGCTATAACCATCAAGAACCTCCATCGGTGAAGAAGTATCTCCATTGGCTCCATGTGGGGTTTCTTCTTCTTCTTCTTCTTCTACTAATGGGTTCCTATAGGACTTTATTGGAGCTGGAATGGGAGCAGGTGATGATGGTTGAGACTCTTGAGCTTCCTCAACCACAACAAACGGAGGAAACACACAAGGGTACCGGCCAGAGAGAGAAGATTGAAGAGATTTTGGCAACACAGGTGCTAAACTACGCAGGGGTTTTGCCTCTACAACCTTAGTTTTATCAACAAAACCTGAACTAGGAGGAACTGAGTTTTGCCGCAACCCTTCTTCCATTACACACCCCTCAAGACAAACAACACAAAATCAACCTTCACAAACTGAAAATGTCTCACCTTTTCCTCTAACCTTTAAATATCATCCATCTCAACTCTTACCATCACTAATCAAACTATTCAACAGCAAAAAACAAAAGCCTGACCTTATGGTGAAGAAGGGTCGTGAGAGCCGTTGTCGAAGATGCTGTTTTGGAACATGGTTAGCACAAAATACCCAAAACAAAAAAGAGATCAAAGAAGAAACTTTGAGAATAATACAAAGAGACCCACAATTTGTAAGAATCTGAACGAGAAATTTTACCAATTAAACATATTTTATGTAGTGCAAGTTTGAGACGCTTCGTAGTTCGTAACAAAGAATGAGAGAGTTGTGGTGATGTGGCCTCGAAGGAAATGCTTTATTTTGGTATGCATTGAATGTTAATTAATTAAGAGTTGCCATTTTGGGATTAAGAGGATTTTATTAATCCTAACGAAATAAAACAGACATGGAATTATGGAAATTAGAAGATTTTCGAGTTTTTCTTATTTATTACAACAGTTTTAATATTTAAAATATATTTCAAAATAGATATTAATTATTTTTTTAATTAACTATTTCTTATGTTATTTAATCACAACAATTAAAAATAACGTATATTTTGAGAGAGCGGATTCTTTAAGTAAAATTATATAAAATATGATATATTTATATTTATTCTTAATTTGTGGATAAAAATTTTAAACTATGATCATAAATGTGTATGTTGTTATAACTTCAACAGCAAACTTTTATTGTAAATAAATATGTAACTATTATAAAATGAGTTAATCATTCATATACTGTTAGTGTAAAAAAATTTTACACTAGTATTGTATAGGTGATTAACTTTTATAAAATTTTGTTAAAAAACTTTTTTAAGTTAGATTAGATAATTCTTATTATAAAGATTAGTGGGATGAAGACACATTGTATCTCTATTAAATATAAAATAAAAATAAAAATTAAGTAATAAATATATAGTGATCTGGTGTTATGATTAGTTCATTAATTTTAAGGTCTTGAATTTGATAAAAAAAAATATTATTTTCCTAATTTTTTAAAATAAAAAGGTATAATGATCAATAAAATATGCAGACTAAGGTGATTATTAGAATGAATATCTACCTTATATATTAGTATAGATTAGTATAAATTAAATAACTAATTATTCGTTTATTAAAATTAAGATTAGATAAAATATCTTAGTTTTGCACGGATATTCAACTTTGAACAAGAAGAGAGATTGATTTGACGCTTGTTTTTGCTTATCGCTTGTTGCTTCTCTCTTTTTTCTTTTCTTCTCAAATCTTGTTATTTATAGCCTTGTGATAAATCTGTCTATTCTTTGAATTTGAATGTGTCTGTTGAGGCAGAGCTTTCCGTTGGTGCAGATAAACGTTCGTTCATGACTACACAGATCTTTTTCATTTAATGCATTTGATTTTGCGTTAAATGTTTTGCTTGCTAAATCTGTGTTACGCGCGTGAAGTCCTTTGCATAATTTATTCCCTTTTATTTCTAACTTCAATCATAACCTAGGTATGTTTGTCCTTTTTCCGTCATTGTAGCTGCGGAGGTGTTGTCTTTCTCTGAAAAGTAGGTATATTTGTCCTGACATACACAACTTTGACTTGTGAATTCGCGCTCTTGAATTTTTCTTCTTTCTCTTCATATCTTTGCTAACTCCGTGTGCTTTTCTTATAAATGGAGATGATATAAGATCTTCTTCGTTTTAATAGTGGACTTCAGACGCTTTTTCACCATGTTTCGTCTGCGTCTGGAAATCTGAGTCTACGTCTAAGAGCTAGACTTTGACTTTGTCATCTCGTCTGATCAGTCTTGAAGGTGTACGACTTTTCATTCTGTCTAGAATGTTTCTTCATCTTGTGTTATGTGGTTGACCATTGAGCTTCGTCTGATGTTTATTTGTTGTTAAGCCAACTTTGTCTTGGTCTTATTTTGCTCTTGTTTCTGATTTCTTATATTGCGCTTTGGATTGTTCTTGGCATATCTTCGTTGATATTTATTATCGTCTAGTGTGCAAGTCATGATCCTTATGTTATTTGACTTGATTTTTCTGATCTTTGTTTTGCTTGACCTTGCTTCATCCTTTAGTTTTGCCTGTTCTTATATATATCTGAAACACTACTATACAGGTTAGTAATAAAAATATGAATTATATTTGTTATATTCAAAATTCCACTGAGAATTGTTTCATCTGAGTTAACAATCTTCCTATTTTTGATGATGACAAATATAATCTATTAATTCATTTTAGATCAATAGCATATATACAAATTTATTCCAATCAAGTAGATTTATACATTTCATACATCTTATAAATTACTAGGTATTTTAGGGTACTAGGGCTTTCCCCCTTAATATGTGCTCTCCCCCTCACTTGATTATTCCTACTTCACTCTGATGTAGATTTGATAGATTCTTTTTAATTTCTCTCCCTTTGTAATCATTAAATAGGGGTTTGTTACTCACTTATCAGTTCCATTCCTAGCCTATTTCTTAGCCAGATATATCTATCTTCTTGAAGAGGTTTGGTAAAGATGTCAGCTCATTGTTCCTCAGTTTTAATATACACTAGACCGAAGGTTCCTTTTTGCACATGATCTCTAATGAAATGATGTTTGATCTCAATATGTTTAGTCCTAGAATGCAAAACAAGATTTTTTGAAATACTAATTGCAGTAGTGTTATCACAAAGTACAGGAATACTACTTTCATAAATGTTGTAGTCTTCCAGCTGATGTTTGATCCAAAGCAGCTGCTTAAGACACTGTCCTGCGGTGACATACTCAGCTTTGCAAGTTGATAAGGAAATTGTGCTTTCCTTTTGCTAGTCCATGAAACTAAGCAGCGACCAAGAAAATGACATCCTCCACTAGTGCTTTTTCTCTCCCATTTGTCTCTTGCGTAATCTGCATCACAATATCCTAATAGAGAAAAATTATGGCTTCTATAGAAGTTGATTTCTAGGTTAGTTGTTCCTTTAAGATATCTCAAAATGCATTTAACAGCTTGTAAATGTACCTCCTTAGGTTTCATTTGAAATCTGGCACAGACGCAGACGCTGAACATAATGTCAGGTCTGGATGTCGTTAGGTACAAGAGTGAGCCTACCATTCCTTGGTACATTGTGTTATCTACGTCTGGTGAGTCTTTGTCCAGATCCAGAGTTGTGGATGGATGCATTGGAGTCTTCATTGATTTTGCATCATCCATCTTATACTTCTTCAGTAGCTCTTTTCTATATTTTGTCTGATGAATTCTGATTCCTCCATCTACCTGAACGATTTGGAGTCCTAGAAAGAACTTCAGTTCTCCCATCATGCTCATCTCAAATTCATCCTGCATAAGCTTGGAAAACTCTTAACAGAGATTGTCATTAGTAGCTCCAAATATTATGTCATCTATATAAATTTGAACTATTATGAAATCATCTTTTAGTTCTTTTCTAAATAGAGTGCTATCAATTTTTCCTCTTATGAAATTGTTGCTTGTTAGAAAAGAACTTAATTTTTTGTACCATGCTCGTGGTGCTTGTTTCAGTCCATACAAAGCTTTGTTTAATTTAAAGACATGAGATGGAAGCAAATCGCTTTCAAAACCAGGGGGTTGGTTTACGTAAACTTTTGAACCAGTGCATGTAGCAAAAGCAAGTAATATTCTAATAGCTTCTATTCTGGCAACAATTGCAAAAGTTTTGGTAAATTTTATACCTTCTTGTTGTGAGTATCCTTTTGCGACTAACCTTGCTTTGTTTCTTACCACATTTCCTAATTCGTCTAACTTGTTTCTGTATACCCATTTTGTGCCAATTATTGTTTTTCCTTCCGGAGCTTGTACGAGTTTCCAGACATCATTCTTTTAGAATTGGGTGAGTTCTTCTTGCATGGCTTGGACCCAGCTATCATCTGATAGGGCTTCGTCCGTGGTTTTTGGTTCTATTTGAGATAACAGCGCAATTTATGCTTTTTCAACTTTGAGATTAATCTCAGGCTTACATGACCAAGTTTCTTGTGCCACAACCACTAATTTTCATAGGATACTAGACAATCAACATTTTGATTTTCTAGTTCATTAGGCATTATCTTGTACAAGTTATTGCATCTGCTAGGTGTAAATAATATGGATGAATCAATTTGACTAACAGTACATTTATTTTTGTTGAAGGAAACTTCGTAACCACTGTCACATAATTGGTTTATGCTTAGCAGGTTATGTGTTAATCCTTTAACATACAAGACGTTATCAATGTTGATGGAGGAATTTATACCTATTTTACCTATCCCCGTGATTTTTCATTTTTGTCCTCCTCCGAATGTGACTAGGCCTCCTTTCTTGGACTTGAGGTCTAGGATCATAGACCTTTCGCCTTTCATGTGTCGCGAGCAGCCACTATCCAGGTACCATGACTGGACACATCCTATTCTTATTGAACAGATCTGCAATAGATATTATTTTAGTCTTTGGTACCCAATTGGATTTGGGTCCATAAATGTTAGTGTTTGAGGTTTTGGAATACCCCTTCTGTGCATGTGATTGCATTTAGGCGTGAAATGCCCATTATATGTAGGATATGCGTATGTACTTACTTTGTTTTTCGATTCAGAGTCAACATACCCTAATCCAGACTTATCATTTTTACTCTTAGAGTATTTCAAGAGATTTTCAAGGTTTTTAGTTCCTAGAGTGAACTTTGATAAATCAGATTTTAGTATTTTAATTTCTTGGTTTAGCAATTTTATTTCTTCAAGTCCTTTTTCTGATTCTTTTGATAATTTTGCATTTTTATTCTTGAGCAAAAGAGTTTCTTCAAGTAGTTCAAAAATTCTTTTCTTTTGTTCTTTATATGCAGTAGAGATCTTAGTAGAATCAATTAAAAGCTGATTATATGCATGCTGAAGATCTTTGAAATCAAATTCACTAACCTCTTCATCATTAGATTCAAATGATGAGTTTGTGTATGCCATGAGACATATGTTTGCATGTTCATCATCTTCAGATGATGTCGTATCTAGATCTTCCCAGGGGCCATCATGGCCTTCTTCTTCTTGTGGAGAGTTGACTTCTTCTTTTCTTTCTCCTTTTCTTTTTCTAACTCTAGACATTCTGTTTTGTAGTGTCCAGGTTTCTTGCATTCATAGCACAGTGGCTGTGCCTTTTCTCTTGGAGTTCTGTTGTATTTTCTTCAGCATGATCCTCCCTTTTTCTTCATCATGGAATATATTTTTATAGACAAGATGGATATCTCATCGTCTGAGTCATATGTCTCTTCGTCACAACTCTCGTCAGATGCTTCTTTTGCCTTTAAGGCTTTTGAGGATGATGATGTAGGTTTC